TTTCTCTATTCTCCACACACACACACACCACACTGTAGTAATAATCACAACCATTCCATGATCCCCACCGTGCATCAAATTCATAATTATTACATCCTCTCTCTCCCTCACACATTATTATTATTATAATTGTTTGTTCATTTGTTGTTACTTTCTTCTTCTTCCATTTTTTTTTTCTTCAAAGATCCTACTTTTGGATTGACCCTTGACCTACAATAATTTTATTCATTTATTATGAATTTTAATTTGTTTTGTATTGTTTTCAGTATTATTGTGATTATTTTGGAAGCATAAGTTTCTTGAAACTGTGTGTTTTTTGATGTGGGCATTTATTGCATAAGGCCACCCACTCCAAATTTTAGTGGGTTCTCTGCCTTTAATATTGTTTTCCACTCTTTAGGGTTTTTTGCTTATTGTAACCAGATTTTTATTTTATTTCAGCCCAGCTACCTACTTTGTGTTGTTGTTGAACCATTTTCTGCTGCTCCTATTGATACTAATAATAAGTAATAAGTAATAATCATTGTTGGCTGCTCATCTGCAATTAATAAAGAATCTTGTCCTCAAATTTTTCCTTCACTCATTCATTCTCCCCTTTTGCCTTTTCAAAATTTTGCTTGATTTTTCAAAGTATGCTTGATTTCTAGCATTATTACTGCAGAGGGCTCAAATAATCTTTGTTGGTTGGAATTATTAAGGTTGTTTGTGATTTTTGTGACACAATGCCTCCAACGGACTCTGTTTCTCTTCCTGCCTCTGGTTTGGACAGGTGAAGAAATTAAGATTGTTGGCATCCACAATGTTTCGGGTTTTTATTTAAAGCTTTCGTCGACGAAAACAATCGATTTGTAGTGTATATGCTGATAACATTGTTGTGCATTTGCAGTTCTCATAACGTTCAGATGAACAAGGATCATGTGCTTAATATGTCTCCAAGACCTTCTTGCCTTCGGAATCACGTGAGCAAAATAGATTATGTCGGTTTTACTTGATTTGCGTTTTGTTTTCCATTGTTTTCCCCACTTGTAGATTAACTGGATCACACTGTATGAGGATGAATAATATAGAATGTGAAGCTACATTATAGTTTTCGCCATGAATTTCTGGTGTTTGTGGTTGTTTTGCATTCAGCAAGTATGCATTTCTCATAGGTTGCTCCATATTCGTTTAGATTTTGTCAATTTTAGTTATGATATTTGGTTGTTCTGCATCTGTGCAAGGGTGCATTTCTCATAGAGGACTTTTCTTTATTCGAGTTTTGTCACTATAGTTCGTAGTATAGTCGATATACTAGTAGTGATGCCTTTTCAACTTATAATTCATTGTTACTTCTTAAAGAATTCGTCTCTGGACAAGACGCCAAGCACCCGGGGATTGGACAAAAAACAAAGCTTCAACTCGAGCTCGTCTGTGGTTTCAAATGTCAAGACTGTGTCTAAGGTACTCTTGTCTAGTTTTTCTATTAAATTATAAATACTCCCTCTTGAATTTAACTAAGTGGTTGTGTTAGAATTTTATGTGATTGTTTGCTGCCAAAACTTTTAATATTGTCATTGGTAGTAACTCTTCTAGAGGAACATATTATCGTGTACTTTTCTGGGATGATCTTGAATTTGTCGTCTTGAATGTCCACATTGTACTCAGTTAAACAATTCAAGTTGTGCGATGTTGAAACTGAGAATTTTAACCATTTTTTTTCGATCCAAGGAAACTGAATCAGGACAAAATATAATTGTTGTTATTCATGAGCTTGCTATATATCGATCAAATTTAGATACATGTTGAGGAATGGCCTGAGATTTTAATCACGAATGATTAAATCCACAAAGATATCTAGCATTTATGGAGCATTTATAGTTTTCTGATCATTTCTTCCCACGGGGTTGGTGTCAGCGTGGCATTATATCAATGGTTCATAATTTGTCCAAACTCAGTTCAGTTTGGAAGACAAAATTGCAAGAATATCGATAATGTTTGAGGCTTTGTTTCTATCAGAAATTATTTTGATTTTTCCAGCTCGAAAAATAAACTTGAAAAACCCAAGAACTACGCCATGAGATAAAATATTTCTACTTTAGTGTCAATCAATGTGCATAAACACAATTAACTGGATATCAGCCATTCATCCTACAGTTATGGTGTTTCTTGCAAGTTGCACCAATATTCTTCCTATGCAATCCTTATGTTACATCAAATTACTCTTAGAACCTTTCAAGAAATTATTATTTTTAACTGTCCATTGGCTAACAGTCTTCAGCTGAGCTGGTGAAAGAAATTGCCACACTTGAGGTTGAAATAGTTCATTTGGAGCGTTATCTTCTCTCTCTATACCGGACGGCTTTTCAGCAGCATCTCCCGAGGATATCGAGCAACCATGCTGAACAAGTGAGTGGAAGATCTCATGGGACTATTATTACATCCGAACAACCGTCTCCAAAACTGAAAATGCAAACGGCAGAAGAATGTAAAGCCCGTCTGAGTCAAAGCTCACCTACAAGTTCTCTAACTGGCCCAAAAGATTCGGTTCGAGATTCGATTCCCAAGTCGTCATCAGGAAGTGTATGCCTTATTAATATTTTTTTTTTCCTAAAAGCATTTGTAGATTTACACGGCTCTGATAAATGCCCGAGTTCAATAATTGCAGGGAAAGCAGAGTTTTTATTCCGAGCACCGTAGCCTGGCAGACCACCTTGGGAGTTCTTGCATGGATGATGCCCGAATTTGTCCCGATCGGTTGTCTGAAGACATTATAAGATGTGTATCTTCGATTTATTGCAAATTAGCTAACCCTGCCCTTGCTTACAAGGGATGCTCGGTTTCTTCTACTTCGTCATTTTGTTCGTCAAGCACATTTTCTCCGAGAAATTTTTCCGGCAGCTGGAGTCCTCCGGGTAACGACGAGGTTACGGAAAATTGTGATTTTGAAGGCCCAAAACAAGGAAACGGGCCGTATACTGCAATGGTAGAGGTGCTGAGGATAGGCATAGACGATGAAAGTTATAGTTATGCTGCTAATATGCTTCAGAAATTCAGGTGTCTATATTTTCTTTTATATCCTGTCGAAATTTTATTTATGCGAACCATATGCTGGAACATCTTCCTTTGATTCAACCTTTTATTCCCAATAAATTGTAAACTTTTTGTTGGCAGTCATTTTTTCCCTATTTTTGAGTTTGTCTTGTCATCTTCTTACAGAAAATTGTTCCTGTGATTAGATCAGTCAAATTTCACATTACTTAATAGGGCCCCTATGTTTTTTCTTTTTCAAATGTCAAAGTCTTCAATGACTTCAGTTCGCTTTCCAAATAAGTACATCATTATTAATTCCTGATTTGAAAATCAAAAATTACGTTCGCAGATCTCTTGTGAAGAGCCTCGAGATTGTTGACCCGATGAAGATGAGGCGTGAAGAGAAGCTTGCATTCTGGATCAATATTCACAACGCCTTAGTGATGCATGTATGACTTGTAAAACTCTTTCTTGTTCTTGATGACTAACTAAAGTCAAGAAGCAAAACAAAAACTAAAACAGAAAAGAATTCTCCATTTGAAACAATTGACTCGTCTTCTTCGTCATTGGACTTGACTAATATTAAACATTATTTATTCTTCGCATCCTCGGCTAAGCAATTCCTTTCTGCTTGCAGGCTTATTTGGCATATGGAACTCAAAACTATATCAAAAGTGCTTATATTTTGAAGGTAATGCACAAATTTAGTTTTGTTTAATCTTCAGTAACAATTTATCATAATCAGAATCTTATTGTCGAACGTACAATTTATTTTTATCTCAGGCTTCGTATAACGTGGGCGGGCATTGCATAAATGCATATGACATACAAAGCTCCATTTTAGGAATCAGATCACACTATTCTGCACCGGTATATTAATGCACGTTTTTTATACTCTGCTGCTTGCTAATGAAGATCATATTTCTCGAATATTAATTGTTATTTCACGGAGTCGGTGTGAAATTTGTAAAATGCAGTGGCTCCAAACACTTTTATATCCTGGAAAGAAGTTCAAGACTGGGAATACTAAACATCCTTATGCCATTGAATACTCTGAACCACTCGTTCATTTTGCACTTTGCTCTGGTGCATACTCAGATCCAGCGGTACTGAGAATCCTTGCTCGTTTATTTATCTTTCTTTTCTTTGTTTTTCTATAAAATGTTCTAACTTAGTTCTGAAAAAGTGCATTTTTTTTTTTTGGCAAGCTGCTGAATATTATATTTAAACTTTTGGATAAATAAATGAAACGTAGGTCCGGGTGTACACTGCAAACAACGTATTTCACGATCTGAATGTTGCTAAAGAAGAGTTCATACAAGCTACGGTTTACGTTCATAAGGAAAGCAAGATATACCTGCCCAAGATACTTTGCTATTATGCGAAAGATATGTCGATGGGGATGGCAGCACTGTTGGAAGTGGTTAGCGGATGTGTGACGAGCATTCAGCAAAAGGCTATAAAGACATGTGTGAAGGGAAGGCCTGAAAAATATGTGTATTGGTTGGAGCAGAGTTCGTCTTTTCGTTATCTCATCCATAAGGAAATAGCTGAAACGAGATGGGGTGCTTGACTTCTTTTTCATCCTCTTCTTCTTTTTTGGTTTTTTGGCTCTGCTTTAGTGTTCTCTTTCTTTATCTTCTTTTTTTTAGTTTGTTGTTCTGCTTTGTTTGCATTTTTTCCCTGTAATTATCAAGTAGATGTATTTCCTAGAGCAATAATTCAAGAAAGTTTTATCATATACTGCAATCTCTTTTTTTTTTTTTCCTTGAAAATATAGTTTTTTTTTTTTTTTTCCTTGGTGTGTGTCTCTCGATCTTGCAGTTGTACGAGTATATAGATATTTTGATATGTCAGAAGAAAATGAAAGAATAATTTGTAAGGTGGAGCATATTTTGATGTGCTCAATTAAATCATCCAACTATGGCATGATTTATCTCAATTGATAGCATTATTTTAAGCTTCCAAACCTTCATATGTTTCTTGCAAAAGTTTTAGACGAGAAAAAGATGTATGTTCGGCCCTCTCCAATCAACAGCAAACTCCCCAAAAACCTTTCTCCCTCTTGGCACCACCTAACAACATCCAGCCGCCGTTCCCGAGCCTAGCATCGTTCACCTCCATTGATGTTATTGTCGGAAGTCCTCGCCAAGAACACAACCGCGTGGCATCGCAGCCCCAGCACCTTCGTGAAACACACAACCGAGAAGCCCAGCGAGGGGGAGAGCCGGGAGTTGCGATCACGTCACGCCGAGAGAGGGAGCCATGATGACCAGCGAGACACCTTCTTGCCCGGCATCTTTCGAGCATCCCGCAAAAAACCCGCAACCCCTATCGCCGGCGTTGAGGAGCCACCAGCGACAACCCACGAGCGAACAACCGCGAGCCCCGCGCCTTGCCGAGCCTTGACTGTGCCCATCAGCAACCTCCTACGACGAGAGAACACGAGAACTATTGCCATCATCTCCACACAACAGTATCCTCCGACCGCCGCAAACAGCAGCCCACGACGAGACCACCAAAGACCAGCAGCAGCATCCTCTGTTCGCGAGAGCCGAAATCTGCAGCCGAGGCGCACGTCCAGCAGCTGAGCCCCTCGTTGGAGAGGAGCGTTCTGTCGAGGCAAACCATCCAAGGCCTGTTGTGCATTGCCAGCCGTAGCGACCACAAACCACAGCCGCGAGCCGTTCGAGATTGGCCCAAAGCCGCGCGCGAACAGAAAAAGGCCCACGCATATCGCGGCGACCGAGGATCCAAATTTCAGATCCGACCCCCTCGTGTGCATGTAGATTCACGAAGAGAGGTGAATCTCGAGTTGCCCTTCTCATCTTCGTGAATTTTAGATCCCTTTCGTGAAGTTTGGATCTTTTTTTTTTTTTCAAAGACATAAAAAACATCTCATAAAACTATAAAATGGTAATGTACAAATGAACAAGTCTAGCCTGGGTTACTGAGAGGCCCTGCAACACTTTGCAGCCTAACCGGGATCACACCAAATACAAACCAGATTACAACTGCAAATACTACTACCAGCAATACACACAGCAAACATAAGGGATAAGTTCTAGAGCTAAACATCATAACTCCCACGGAAATATAAAAAGGAAATATAAAGAAATAAACCGCTGCATCACTGCCTAGCCCATCTTCAGCTTCCCTATACTATGCTTGATCATTACAGCTATCAAATTCAAGCTAGTCCTTCATTGCTGCCTCCGGTTGCCATTGACCATCAAACACCCAAACGTTTCTTGCTTTCCAGAGCCACCATAAAATATAGGTGGACAATTGGATTCTGTCTTCTGAAATGTCTTTGGAGTTCATGGTGCTAACCCATCACCACCATTGCTTGAAGCTGAGTTGCTCTCGATGGACTCTGTTCCGTTGCACAGGTGCTAGTTTCCAAACCTTCACTGCTCTTTGAGTACTTGTCTAACCAGCAGCTCAGGTTGCTCAATAAGCCTCCATAATTGCTTAATAATCAGTGCTTTGTTCATGGTCCTAATGTCCAGAAACCCCATCCCACCCTCAGCTTTAGGAATGGCAGGCAGTGCTCTTGAGAGTTCCTGCTTTTCCACCAGAATTTTGCCAGCAAGCTGCAAATGACAGACCCTTAGGTAATAAAAAGCAAGACATGACAAAAATGGGAAGGGCCTGCAACACCGATTTTATACTGTCAATCTTATCAGCACCACAATTTGTACTCATAAACATCGATGACTTATGTAAATTGACTACAATCTGATCATCACCACAATTTCTACTCATGCTAGGGTGTTGTTGGAAATTATGAAGTTTGGATCTTGTTAATCTGAGGATAATATTTGTGTTATTTAAATATATGAATTTTTGCTGGACTTAGAACTGGTCATTTTAGCCTTAAATTATAGTCTCTTTTACCTTGGGAAATATGATGAATATTGTGAAAAGGTCGAACCTCTTGTATACCATAATAGATTTGACTTTCGTGAGCCTTATACTTGTGGAAATAAATTGTTGTATTGAAATCCTAAATTGTTCCCTCAGAGTGTGATTGAAACCTTGAATCGAGAGCCAAACAAACCCTGGTTAGGTATAGCCATGCGAGTGCTGGGCGAGTACGCACGGCCGTGCTGAGAGATGCGAGGCCACGCGCGAAGTCGAACGTCGACTCGCGCGAGATTCGCAGCTGCCATCACCAACCGCGTCAGCTCCCAAGGACAGTGTGTGCGGCTTGACTTCGACCTTGCAGTGGGTCTCCGAGCAGTTGCGCATGAGCGCGTCAACAGCGCCAGCGAGCACGCCACCTCTTGGGTGACTCCGCAGCATGAACTACAACCCGTGCCCAATCGAGACTAGGTCGACCAGCAGTTAGCCGGTCTCGCCGAGGCGCGAAGGCAGTGAGCGTGTAGACTCAGTGACAGTCGCAGCCCGCGACTGATGCTAGCGCGGTCAGACCTGAGCCAGTGTTAGCTCGTGAACTTAACCGAGCCGTTGAGCCACTTTCGAGCTGTGTGGACGATTTTTTGCACCGAACCTTATTTTAGCCTTGTGAGCCATTTTTTTGAGAGTTTTGTGTTCCACTAAATTTTTTAGAAGTGCTTAACCAATGAAGTAATTGATTAATGAAATTTCAAAGTTCAAGGGCAAGTTATTTATTAGAGTATTCTTGCCTTAAATTATAGATTTCGAGTAGTCGAGCCTCGAGTGACTGTGTGCAGGAGTCGAGCCTCGAGTGACTGTGTGCACTATCTGCAATTACAACATCATTCAGACCAGGTGGGTGTTGCTAAACTCTATGCTTTTATTCATCATAATCGCATGGTCCATAATTGAGATATGTATATGACTGTGTGGTACGTGATGAACTAGATTGTGTGAAATGAACTGCGTGAACTGGACTGTGTCAAATGAACTGTATGAAACATACTGTGTGAATTTGACTGTGTACAAGAGGAGTGAAGGGTTCAATACATTGGTTGAATGATGCATTGACTGTGTGGCACCCCGGTCCGAAATAACTGAGGGCTGCAATGTTGTTACTACTTGAAGCATTGACTATGTGGCACCTCCGGTGTGATCTACCCTCGTTGAGCGCCTAGTGTCTATGTGATGGCGGGCCGACGATAAAGGTATGCACACATAAAGCGAGATGATGAGAAGGGCAGTCAAAAACAGTTGTGATCTATGTGATTGAGCTATATGATTGAGCTATGTGGTTGAGGTAAGTGATTGAGCTAGCTGGTTGACTATGTGTTCATTGCATATTGAGTTATGTCAAGAGTTACTATATTAAATATATTGCATAGTTCCCACAGTGAGCTTGTGTTTGCGCATCCCCATACATTAATATTTTTTTAGGATAAGAAGTTGGTGACGGTCACGAGCGGAAGAGAATGTCGAAGTTGTATTTAGCAAACATTTCTGCTTCTGCATTGAGTTTTTTATCTTGTGCAAATAAATTTTAATTTTGAAATCTCTGACTATGAGAAAGGTTTTTAAATTGTGCATCCAATACCATTTGAAAGAAAGTTTGTTTTGATTCGTGTCGTTAATAATAAAGAGTTTCCGAGTAACGTCCAAGAGAGTTTTAATTTGGAATGGTTTTTGAAGAAACTTTAACTCGAATTATAGAGACCAAGCTTTTTCTATTAAAAAATAAATGGGCCGTTACATAGAGAAACTTTATTGTTGCTCTACATTATAACATTACTTTAGAGTAGTGTGGAAAACTTGCTCCAATACTACATAACATCTCTTTAATACTCTGAATATGTGAATGGTACTGTGCTACATGTAGCGCTGTACTATTCACCATGCTACATTTTTTTTTGAAATTTTATATTTAATTTATTTTGATTTCTAATATTATTTTGGTTAAATATACATTACTAAAATTATATCCTTAGTTAAAAA